ATATACATCCCAAAGTCAAATTATGGTATCTCTGTTCAGCTGCCCAACAGCAAAATCACAACCCCAGAGCAGCAGCCCCAGACCTGGAACTCCTTCTCTCCTGTCCTCTTCCCAGTACCCAACATCTGTCAAGGGGGGGCCTGTCCCACTCCACTGTCACTCCAGCTGAAAGCCAACCCCCTTTACCTGGCTTCATGAAGTTTATTGAACAGGAGTGAGGGCTAAAGAGTCAAAGTGACACTTTTCACGCAGTGAGAGACTATTCTCTGTGGTTCCGGTGGCCTGAGCTTCATCTCTGACTAGCTGAAGATTCTAGAGCCAATAGAATGGGCCACACTTTTCAAGTGAACTCTCCAGTCTGAGCCTCAAATTCTATAATCGGTTTTAGCAGCTGTATGTGAAGATGAGGAGGCTGGACCACAGTAGGCCTCTGAGCCCTCCAAGCATCCCCTACTGAGTCAGAGCTCCCAGAGGCAGGGACTATACCCTTACTCAGGTTTAACTCAAACATGTCTGGGGTAGGAAATCAGGGCATAATCTACCTGTTCATCTTTCTATCCTCAGCCCTGGGCATGGAACGTGACATCAACTAGTAGGTACTTAATGCCAGGCCTCATGCTGAGTGTTTTCATTTCCAACATTTCATTTGAAAAGGTAAATATTTGTTGAATTGAATGCACTTGATTCACTCTCTTGGAACCTTAGTATTGCCTCAATTTCCTCCTCCCCCTTATCTCTTTTTCAGGGTACTTGTAGGAACCAGGTGGCATTAATATTAAAGCACTTGCAGGTGATGCGCTACTTTATTTTTCTGGCCCAGACTTGAATACCCAGCTGCCTACCTAATATCTCACTTGGATGCATGTAAAAAACAACTTGTCCAAAAACAAACTCCTGGTCTAGGCCCATTCCTCCTCCTCCCTGTGTACACCAGATGCCCAGGCCAAAACTCAGAGCGTCTCCTAACTCCTCTCTTCAACTCTTTACAGCTAACCCTTCAGCAATCCTTTTGGCTCAATTTCCAGAATATATTCAGAAGTTGAGCACTTTTCACCACTCTTAACTACTCAGCCCCTTCCCACCTCCCTGTCCTGTGACCCCCATGTAACCCCCACGATCATCCTCTCATGCCTGAATGCTATTGCTTCTGCCCTTGGCCCTCTCAGTCTTAGCAACATAGAGAAAAACAACTTATACATTTACCATTTTGTTGCAGCAATCCTACTTCTAGGAAACTATCTCACAGGCACACTGGTAAAATTACAAAATGGTATATTTACCAGATTCCTCACTGTGGTTTTATTTGTAAGAGCAAAAGACTGGACACAGCCCAAAGTCCACGGATAAACCATGGCACGTCTACATGGTGAGGCATAGTGCAGGTGCAAAAAGGAATCAAGAGGATTTCTATATTCTGCTACAGGGTAATCTTCAAGATTGATCATGGGGGAAAACGCAAAGTATAGAAGAGTACTTAGAGTCTCCTACCTTTTACATAAAAAAGAAAGATAAACAAATACATTTTTCCCTTAAATTTGCAAAAAGAAACAGTGGAAAAAATCTGATAGAAATTGTTTCTTATCAGAAAGGCAGAGAGAATAAAGTAGAGGGAACAAGATGGAATTAGACTTCTCTCAATATACCTTGTTTTATTTGGAATGATAATTTTTAAAAAAGTATGGTAGATGCCATTGTTGTTTTCAGTTCTTTACTTTCCATCAATTTCTGTTCTTTGCCATGTGACTCTGCAGTTTCTCCAACTAGAGACGGAGTATATATTTTCCAGCTGCGGCAGACTGTATTTTCCAAAAAATACAGCAAGATTTCCAGTCCCACATGTTCTTACAGAGTCCATATGTCCCCTCCTTTGAAACCTGGGCAGGATCTTGTGACTGCCTTAGTGAACAGAATGTGGCAGAAGTGACACTGCATGTCTTTTGAGACTAAATCATAAAAGTCAGTACAGTCTTCTACCTGCCTCCCAACCCCTACCTTGTCCTCTTCTACCCCTGGAACTCAGCAACCACATTGTGAGGCAGCCCAAACTAGCCTGCCTGGAGAAATCACATGGAGAAGCCCTGGGGTTCCCGGCTAACAGCCAGCATCAACTCTCAAACATATAAGTGATGAGCCTTCAGAAGATTCTAATCTCTGGCCTTCAAGTCTTCCAGCTGATGCTCCAGACATTGTGAAGCAAAAACAAGCTACATTCTACTGTGCCCTGCCCAAATTCCTGACCTGCAAAATCTGTGACCAGAATAATGGTTGTTTTCCACTACCAAGTTTTGGGGTGGCATGTTACACAGCCATAGTAATTGAAATATAACTCTTTGACTTGGATTTAACAATCAATTGCTTTGACTAAAGGAATGTTACCAGATGTGTCATAATGTCAGAGGCTTGAAATGTGCTGTGTGGTTAGGCACACCCTCTTGTTTTTCTCTCATCACCATAAGAAGAACATGTGGCCAGGCGTGGTGGCTCACACCTGTAATCTCAGCACTTTGGGAGGCCAAGGTGAGCAGATCATAAGGTCAGAAGATCGAGACCATCCTGGTCAACATGGTAAAACCCTGTCTCTAGTAAAAATACAAAAATTAGCTGGGTATGGTGGCACGCACTTGTCCCAGCTACTTGGAAGGCTGAGGCAGAAGAATTGCTTGAACCCAGGCGGCAGAGGTTGCAGTGAGCCAAGATCGCACCACTGCACTCCAGCCTTGTGACAGAGCAAGACTCCGTCTCAAATAATAAAGAAGAAGAAGGAAAAAAAGAACATGCCCCAGCTAGACCGCTGTCCAGGGAAGATGAGAGACATGAATGTGACCAGGACCCAACTGCAGCCTGGAGCCCAGCCTAGATCAGTGAATTCTAGGCAACATGCAGATGCATGAGTGAGAATAAAAAATTGCTATTTGAAGCTACTGAGCTTGGGCTGATTTATTGTGCAGAATGACAGTGAAAGCAGAAAATCAATCGAAAAGTAATACTTACAAATTAAACGTAAATTGGAAAAAAATAGCTTAATTTTATATCCTCCTAATCAGATAACCACACAGAGAAGAATCATTTCTAATAACTCTAAAACACAGAACTATATATCTCTGGAAAGAGATAACCTAAGGGCAAAGGAAACCACAAGGAAGTCTTAAACTACATTCATGAATATTATCGTTAATAAAAATACCTACATTGTTATTTAGAAGCAATCCATTGAAAGGAGCATCAAGCATGGAGAGTCGGCCCAGTTTGGAGGGCATCTTGAGAATAGAACTGTGTCTTTTTCCTTCTTGTGTTCCTGCTATTGACTGCAATGTTTAATAAATGTTTGGTAAAAAAAAAAAAAAGGTTGACAGATAATTTTTATAGAAGAATTTCAGCTAATTTTGCAGTCGCTTATTAAATAATGGATCTAGCTAAGGATCATTAGTGAATGCTAAATTCATCAGGCAAAAAGTTGATGAGGACTTCGTAATGGATTAATCACTGATACTACTTGAATCCCCTAATCCATCTTTTTTTTTTCCTGAAACAGGGTCTTACTCTGTGACCCAAGCTGGAGTACAGTGGCACGATTACAGCTCACTGCAGCCTTCACTTCGCAGTTTCAAGTGAGCCATCCTCCCACCTCAGCCTCTCAAGTAGCTGGGACCACAGACATGTGCCATCAGGCCTGGCTAATTTTTTTGTATTTTTTTTGTAGAGATGCAGTCTCGCTATGTTGCCCAGACTAGTCTCAAACTCCTGGGCTCAAGCAATCTGCCTGTCTCAGCTTCCCAAAGTGCTGAGATTACAGGAGTGAGCCACTGCACCCAGGCTTGAACCAACTTTTCATCACTAATGTGGGACAAGGAAACAGATGTAGTTCCTCCTTCTGGGATGCAATGGGAAGTACACAATATCAATGAAGTGTTCTTTCCAAAAAGATTGAATCTATTCTGATCTGGATCTAACTACCAGTTTGTAGAAAATATGGGGACACTAGGAAGCAAGTAACATAACATCATGATGATGTGCTTAGCCAAAATCAAAAGGAGAGATAGTCTAGGACAAATGTCCTGATGTCTTCACCAAATAAGTGGCATTTAAAAACAAAAGGAGGAATGGGGCTGTTAGAAACTTACAGAACACAGGCCAGACGCAGTGGCTCACGCCTGTAATCACAGAGCTTTGAGAGACTGAAGAGAGCAGATCACCTGAGCTCGGGAGTTTGAGACCAGCCTGACCAACATGGAAAAACCCTGTCTACTAAAAATACAAAATTAGCTGGGTGTGGTGGCACATGCCTGTAATCCCAGCTACTCAGGAGGCTGACGCAGGAGAATCACTTGAACCTGGGGGGCGGAGGTTGCAGTGAGCCAAGATCACACCATTGCACTCCAGCCTGGGCAACAAGAGCAAAACTCCACCTCAAAAAAAAAAAAAAGAAAGAAATTTAGAGAACACATCAACCAAATGCAATGTGTAGACTTTGTTTCAATACTGTTTGAACAAACTAAAATGTAATTTTTGGGGCCAGGCACAGTGGCTCACGCCTGTAACCACTCTGGGAGGCCGAGGTGGGCAGATCACCTGAGGTCAGGAGTTCAAGACTACCCTGGCCAACATGGTGAAACTCTGTCTCTAGTAAAAAATACAAAAATTAGCCAGGTGTGGTTGTGGGTACCTGTAGTCCCAGCTGCTCGGGAGGCTGAGGCAGGGAGAATTGCTTGAACCCATGAGGCAGAAGTTTCAGTGAGCTGAGATGGCACCACTGCACTCCAGCCTGGGCAACAAAGCGAGACTCCATCTTAAAAACGATAAATAAAATAAAATGTTATTTTTGGTACAATAAAGAAAAATTAAACATGGACTCGGTATTTGGTTATAGTAAGAAATTAAAGTTAACTCTGTTGGTTGTGATAATGCCATTGAATTATCACCCTCTAACTACTAGAGGTACATCCTAAACTATTATGAGTAAAATTATATATTTCTATTTTGAATGAAAATCCTCCAGCAAAAAAAAAGTGTGGAGAAATATAGATAAAACAAGTTGGCAAAATACTAATCATTGTTGAAGCTAGGTGGTAGGTTCACAGGAGGGACTTCAGTATACCATCCTTTCTCCTTTTTTTTATTTCTCCTTTTATGTGTGTTTGAAATTTTCATCTGCAGAGCACTTGCTGCTCCTGGAGATACCTACCCTACAGAGCCAAAGGCCAATGCACCCCAAAGTGAGGCCAGCTTAACATGGCTGACCAGGAAAGGACAAGTCTGCACAAGGGTTTTCTCTGCAGAGCACAGGGGCTGCCATGCTAGGATGCAAGGGGTGGTTGCCTCTCCAATACAACCCTAGCTGTCATGTCACCTGAACTATGAGTGACATAGTCTGAAGGATGACGGGCCTTCCTCTTGCAGCATGAGAACACCCTTCCTACATTGTGAGAGCTCTTGGGCATCTACTCCCACTACCAAGCCATCATCACTCCAAACCTGAGCTGGCAAGGCGTTGGCCTTGAGCATCCAACACTGGTCACCCTACTCCAGGTCAGATGCAGGGGTTTAGAAAGTGGGCTCTCAGGGCCCTAGGAAGGGGAGAAGTTCTCACAGCATGGTTCCTGAAATATGCACACTGTCTTAGTTATTACCCTCAGTTTGTGGAACAGAGTCAGGTTCCAAAACAGTCTCAATAGGTTGGAAAGGATCTCTAAGTATAGCCAGAGAAAACATAGCAGAGACTCACACAGGCCCCCACATATTCACACTTGGGCTGTGCAAGTCCAGGATGGAAGGTACCAGACTTTGTGTGAAGATGCCCAGCATGAGGCTGGGTAAGCGTGGGAGTAGCTGCCCAAAAGCTCTCATAAAGGTGTAGGAAGGGTGTTCTCATGCGGCAAGAGGGAAGATCCCACATCCTTCAGACTATGTCTCTCATAGTCCAGGTGACATGCTGAGCCCTGGGCCCTGTTCTCTGAGGCCTCATTATCCTTTTAGGATACTGACAGCCTTGGGCAGGGCAGTCCAGGCTGGCAAGGGTCTCAGAGTCCCATCGCACCCACAGGAGCTGGAGAAGTGAAGTCCAGAGAAGAAAACCAGGATTGAGGAGGTAAGCGCAGGGCCCTCAGCCTTGGCACATAGCAGGCACAGTGAGCACCTGCTAAACCTGTGAGCAAAAATAAATCAGCAGTGCTGGAGGGCAGAGCCAGGACCAGTAGATAGGAGGTGTAAGAAAACTTGTTTCAGGATAACAGCAGAGAATATGGCAGCCCAGAGGGAATGGACCCTGATGGTGTCATCGAGAGCAACTGGAATGAGACTGTTGATAACTCTGATGATACGAATTTAAAGGAGTCTCTTCTTCGGGGCATCTATGCTTATGGTTTTGAGAAGCCTTCCGCTATTCAGCAGAGAGCTATTATTTCCTGTATTAAAGGGTATGATGTGATTGCTCAAGCTTAGTCAGGTACTGGCAAGACAGCCACATCTGCTATTTCCCTCCTGCAACAGTTGGAGATTGAGCTCAAGGAGACCCAAGCACTAGTGTTGGCCCCCATCAGAGAACTGGCTCAACAGATCCAAAAGGCAATTCTGGCACTTGGAGACTATATGGGAGCAACTTGCCATGCCTGCATTGGTAGAACAAATGTTTGAACTGAAATGCAAAAACTGCAGGCTGAAGCACCACATATTGTTGTTGGTACACCTGGGAGAGTGTTTGATATGTTAAACAGAAGATATCTTTCTCCAAAATGGATCAAAATGTTTGTTTTGGATAAAGCAGATGAAATGTTGAGTCATGGGTTTAAGGATCAAATCTATGAGATTTTCCAAAAACTAAATACAAGTATTCAGGTTGTGTTGCTTTCTGCCACAATGCCAACTGATGTGTTGGAAGTGACCAAAAATTTCATGAGAGATCCAATTGGAAATCTGGTGAAAAATGAATAATTGACCCTTGAAGGAATCAAACAGTTTTATATCAATGTTGAGAGAGAGGAATGGAAGTTGGATACACTTTGTGACTTGTATGAGACACTGACCATTATGCAGGCTGTTATTTTTCTCAATACAAGGCGCTCGGTGGACTGGCTGACAGAGAAAATGCATGCCAGAGACTTCACAGTTTCTGCTCTGCATGGTGACATGGACCAGAAGGAGAGAGATGTTATCATGAGGGAATTCTGATCAGGGTCAAGCCGTGTTCTGATAACTACTGACTTGTTGGCTTGCAGGATTGATGTGCAACAAGTGTCTTTGGTTATAAATTATGATCTACCTACCAATCGTGAAAACTATATTCACAGAATTGGCAGAGGGGGTTGATTTGGGAGGAAAGGTGTGGCTATAAACTTTGTCACCGAAGAAGACAAGACGATTCTTCGTGACATTGAGACTTTCTACAATACTACAATGGAGGAGATGCCCATGAATGTGGCTGATCTTATTTAATTCCTGGGATGAGAGTTTTGGATGTAGTGCTCGCTGTTGCTAAATAGGCGATCACAACGTGCACTGTGCTTCTTTCTTTGGGAATATTTGAATCTTGTCTCAATGCTCTTAACGGATCAGAAATACAGATTTTGATAGCAAAGCGACATTAGTCATGAGCTCTTGTGAGGAAAGTCATTGGCTTTATCCTCTTTAGAGTTAGACTGTTGGGGTGGGTATAAAAGATGGGGTCTGTAAAATCTTTCTTTCTTAGAAATTTATTTCCTAGTTCTGTAGAAATGGTTGTCTTAGATGTTCTCTATTATTAAATAATATATTTATGGACTAAAAGATATAAGTGCTGTATAAAATCAGCTAATTATGTTAAACTAGCATATCTGCCTTTATTGTGTTTGTCGTTAGCCTGAGTAGAAAGGCCTTTAAAATTTTTTTAGAAAGCATTTGACTGCATTTGTTTGGTATTGTGTTTATTCAATAAAGTATTTAATTAGTGGTAAGTGTGAACTGGACCCTATCGTTAAGCCCCAGCAAGCAATCATCCTAGGTAGGGTTTAATCCCCAGTAAAATTGCCATATTGCACGTCTTAATGAAGTTTGAATGTTAAATAAATTGTATATTCACTTAAAAAAAAAGAAAACCCGTTTCAGACAAATAGGAAAAAAGACCTCTCCAGCAGTAGAGTCATCTGCCTGAGAAGAACCAAAGGCTGCTGATCTCAGGTATTCACACCAAGACAGAGCTCCAGCCCATACAGAGTATGACAGCAGACATTCTGGCATTTGTTGGGGGTTGGATACAATGCTCAAAATAAAAGGATATCGGAGCAAACATATAACCTGCTGAAGCCAAATCACACTCCTGAAGGAAGCAGCCTCACATACCAGACTTTGACATTGGAAGAGATCTGGCCTGAGCCCACAGAACCCACAGAGCTGCAAAAGCTGCAGAGAGCACCACATCTGTCTCTTCATTCTACAAATGAAGGATTCTGCCTAACTGGAGTCTGCAGATCTAAAGACCCTTTCAGGCTAGCCCTTCCCATGCCCCACCCTTCCCATCACAAAGCATTTGCCAACCCTAGCTCCCATGGAAATCATGGCACACTGGCTACTGCCAGAGTGCCTGCAGGAAGTGGGTGCAACAACATTCAGGAGATAAGCAGCCGAGCACAGCTGGGAACAGGGAGCCTGCAGCAGGCTCTGCAAGTCTGGGTAGGAGCCTTGCTGGCTGGCCAACTAACCCGGCACAAGGAGGCCATCCGCTTTTCAAGAGCCCCTGCCTACCAGAAGCAACCCAGAGACGGGTTGCCAGTCAGTCCCTCTCTCCTGGTTCCAGGCTTGAGTTTACAGTCATCTCATCCATTCTGAAAAATCTCTGCCACACAATGGAAGAGTAAGGGCTCTTCATTTAGAGCTGCTACAAAGTAAACCAAAAAGTGCACAATGTACTTTTGATTTATGACCTTGTTTTCTATGCTCAAAGGGGCTGTGAACAATGGGAAGCATCACCCTTCCTTTTTACACATCTCACAGAAATCATCTGTCAGAGCTGGAAGGAACTGTGGAGATCATCTAGTTAAATCTCTCATTTCACAGATTAAAAAACCAGGGACATACCCAATGTGCACAGCTAAGTTTGGGCAATGTCAGGATTGATTAAAACCTGAATTTCTGACACCCAGCCAGCATGCTTCCACTATTCCTCTTCCTCCACATCATCCTACTTTGCCCTTTGCTCAAATGTCCTACTTTCTGACTCTTTCCCACTCCTCAAAGCCTTTCCCATCATCTTGCTAAATCTCCTATCTTCACAGAGGAGGAGGCGGGGAAGTGACACAGTTCTCCACAGCATTCGGCATTTTGGTTTGCTAAAGTCTGCTAGCTGGCTGTTCTTCTACATCATTCCTCTTAGGCCTTTGGAGCTTCCCAACAGAATAAGTGAATGTTATGAATGTGTTTTGTAAGCTGTAAAATACCATACAAATATATGCTCTACTATTTTAGAACATGAAATAATGCAACCCCTTCTAATCATACTCTCATTTCCCTTACCTCTTTAAGAAAAAGAGAAGGCAGGAGCAAACTCTAATTTAAGGAAGACAAAGTTGAGGCTAAAGATCTGTACAAGAGTTATTTCTCCCCACACCATGGGACCCTTTAGGGCAGAGCCTATTTTGTGCTCCTTCTTTTATTCCTTACACTTCACCCAGGGATAGGTATCCAACAGATGTTCAGCAGAGTTTCCTGAATACGTGGATAAAATTTCACTTAAAATTGTTTCTACTTCTCTGTAGAATCTAACTGTAAAAATCCCCACAAGCACTCCCATATCCAAAAAAGTGTAGGTGACAGGGTAGGAGGTAGAAGGGAAGGTTGACAAAATGTTTCAGTTAAATAGGAGGAATAAATTCAAGAGATCTAGTCTGGGCATGATGGCTGGCTTATGCCTGCAGTCTCAGCACTTTGGGAGGCTGAGGCAGACGGATCACTTGAGGCCAGGAGTTCAACACCAGTGTGGCTAACATGGTGAAACCCGGTCTCTACTAAAAATGCAAAAAAATTAGTTGGGCATAGTGGCACATGCCTGTAATTCTAGCTACTTGGGAGGCTAAGACATGAGGATCACTTGATCCCAAGAGGCAGAGGTTGTGATGAGCCGAGACTGTGCCACTGCACTCCAGCAGCCTGGGCAACAGAGTGAGACTTTGTCCTCCACTCCAAAAAAAAGATCTACTGTACAACATGGTGACTATAGTTAACACCAATGTACTGCATTCTTGTAAATCACTGCTAATAGATTTAAGCATTCTCACCACAAAAAAGTGGTAAGTATGTTAAGTGATGACCAAGTTATTTCAATAATTTAGCCATTCCATAATGTCATAATATGTAAATATTTCAAAACATCAGGTTGTATATAATAAATATACAGTGCATAATTGTCAATCTAAATAATTATTTAATTTTTAAAAATTTTTAAGTGTGAGTGACCCTTGTTACCTGCCTGCAAACATAAATGTAACAGTGTAACTACCGGGAAATTTCCTCACCTACCCTTTCTTCCAAGTACCCAAATGCCTTAATGGTTCTTCCAGCATCTTTGGGAGGTTTGGCTCCCCACACAAACCAGTCGCACTGAAGAACTAGGGCTCCTCTGAATACAGGAGGCAGTCCCAGATAGGACTGGGTGAGGTGATCCTTGCTGCTGAGGTTCTTCGATCTCCTCAGTGTTTGGGACCAAGACCCAAAAGCCATCCCTTCTATTCCCCTCAGGGAAAATATCTTCTTCATTTTTGGCCCTGACAACAGCCCTGCCCACTTTAGGGGAAGTCTGGCCTCTCCAGTCCATTCAAGATTTGGTCTGATCCTGGGGTGATCTAGAGTTCCCTGGAGGCTTCCAATCTGCCTCCATGTGACCCTCTTGTTAGAAAGAAGTAGGGGCACCAGGTAAGAGGTCTCTGTTAGAGCAAAGCTCTCTTCAGAACCCTATGTGCCCATAAAGACAAATGACAGGAAGGAGAGTTCAGAGCAGCCCTGTGGCCAGCCTGAGAGCCCAAGGCACAGCACAGATGAGTCAGGGAGTATCCCATTCCACAGCAGAGCTGACCAGAACCTAAAGTATAAGACAAAGGAGCAAAGAGAATGCCAGGGGGCAACAGACATGCACTAGAGGCCCAATCTGTAGGGAAGGAACCACAGAGAGTGAGACACCAAAATTCTATCACCCCTACCACAGGCAAGAGCCCACGGGCCAGTGTCCCAATTCACTCCACAGCTTCAACCACTGTACTAGTGAACAGAGATGGCAGAGGTCCCTCCAGAAAAGGAGCCTGGGCAAGTTCTACAAATGCAGGATCAATACCATCATGACATGCTCCTGGCACCAAATGAAAGGACTGAGCAGGAGTCCCCACAGCTAAATTGTCCACCAAGTCCCAGCTTACCCAGAGGGCCTCATGTCCCAAAGTGACAGTCAGCCCTTGCTGTAGGCATGCAGGGCTTAGCCACCATTTTACCATTTAAAAAGTTAGTCCCCACACAGGAAAAATATGTAAAGCCAGGATAGGCAGGGCCTGCAGAAGCTGAATGGCCAAGCAGGTAGAATAAGAAATAAAACACCCAGCAGAATGTCTGTGATAAGGCAGTCATTCAGTAATGGTAGTTCTAACTACCATCACAGTGTTGCCAACCTAACATCACAGTTAGCCCCAACTTACTGCACATGGCCCACAGGCACAACAGGTTCCCCTCACATAGCCCACACAAAGTTGGTCTGGCCCTCCACACCCCCACAACTAGCAAGAGAAAAGGTCCCAATTCATAAAGGCAGGACCTATGAGAAGGGGAAAGATTTATTAAAGCCCCCAAATCCTAGCAGCAGCCTCCTATTCACATATGCAGGGAGGACTCCCCCAAACTGGGGTGAAAGGCATGACCTTTCTGGGGGAAAAAAAAAGCTTTTAGAAAAAAGCTTTCCTCTGAAAGCTTTGGCTTCTTAAACTCAGAACCAAACTGACTCAGAGGAAGGAGGGCTTTAGAAAAGGAACAGAAAAGTGGTCCACTGCACTGTTCTTTGGCTCCCAATTAGCCCAAAGCCTGGCTCTGCTTTCACTGAATTCTCAGCCTCTCCATGTCTGAAGCCTTCAAGAAACCCTTTTTTAAAAGGTAGAATTTCTTGGCCCAAAGAATAAAATTTGAACCTGATTAGCTTCTAGATAGAATTCCCAGTTTGCAAGAAAAATATGGGACAGAGGAACATCTATAAATGACACCACAGGGATGCAATCAGCATAAACCTGAATATGAGAAACCATAGGACAAATGACACAGTTCTCTAATAATAAACTGCAAGGAGAAAAATGGAAAGAAAATATATAAAGAAACTAGAGAACTGTTTAGATCACAGTTCGAACCAATTGTAAAAGTAAATTCATAAGACAATCAGAAAAATGGAATCCTGACTGGATATTTGCTGAGTTTAAGAAGAGATGATTGCCGGGCGCGGTGGCTCACGCCTGTAATCCCAACACTTTGGGAGGCCGAGGCGGGTGGATCACAAGGTCAAGAGATCGAGACCATCCTGGTCAACATGGTGAAACCCCGTCTCTACCAAAAATACAAAAAATCAGCTGGGCATAGTGGCGCGTGCCTGTAATCCCAGCTACTCAGGAGGCTGAGGCAGGAGAATTGCCTGAACCCAGGAGGCGGAGGCTGCGGTGAGCTGAGATCGTGCCATTGCACTCCAGCCTGGGCAACAAGAGCAAAACTCCGTCTCAAAAAAAAAAAAAAAAAAAGAAGAGATGATTATCCTATTTAGATGTGGCTGTGGTCCTGTGGTTATGTTCATGTAAAACCCTTATTTATTGGAAATACAAACTGAAATA